TCCATAGAATCATAGAGCTGGAAGAGACTTAAAGGGCCATCAAGTTCAACCCCTTTGCCATGCAGTAACTCACAATCAGAGCACCCCAACAAATGGCCATCCACCCTCTGTTTAAAACCCTCCAAAGAAGGAGACTCCACCACACTCCAAGGCAGCATATTCCAGTGTCTAATAGTGTTACTGTCAGGAGGTTCCTCCTAATGTTGAGGTGGAATCTCATTTCCTGTAGTTTGAATCCATTGCTGTGCGTGCTAGTCTCTGAAGCAGCAACAAGCTTGCTCCATCCTCAACATGACACCCCTTCAAATATTTAAATGGGGCTAAATATGGCAGACCCTTTGAGGCACACACTATGGTAGTTAAATTGGTATCAAACGACATTATTTCTACAGTGTAGATCAGGGGTAGGCCACCTTTCCCCTTTAAGGGCCGAGGGACTTCAGCTCCCAGAATCCCAGGAGCTATTGGCCAACATGGGACTATTGGCCAACATGGCTGAGGCTTCTGGGAGCTGAAGTCCTTCGGCCCTTAAAGGGGACAGGTTGCCTACCCCTGGTGTAGATGCACCCTTAGGCTGCATCCACACTGGAGGAATAACCTGGTTTAGCACCGCTTTAACTGCCCTGGCTCAAGACTATGGAATTCTGGGAAATGGAGTTTGTTGTGGGGCCCAGAGCAGAGCTGTTTAAAGTGGTGCCAAACCAGGTTCCTCCTCCAGTGTGGATGCAGCCAGTGTTGGCAGCAGAGGCAGAAGTGGGCCCTTTGGGGCACTGGCTCTTCATGTGGAACCAAAGGCCAGTAAGGGGGACTGTTTTCACAGGTCAGTACTAACTGGCCAGCATGAAGAACTGAAAAATTAGAATTGTCGAATTGGAAGAGACTCAAAGGCCATCCAGTCCAACCCCATTCTGCCATGCAGGAACTCACAAGCAAAGCACTCTCGACAGATGGTCATCCAGCCTCTGTCTAAAAACCCCCAAAGAAGGAGGCTCCACCATAAAGGAAATGTGTTTCACTGTCGAACAGCTCTTACTGTCAGGAAGTTCCTCCTAATGTTTAGGTGGAATCTCTTTTCCTGTAGCCTCCACCCATTGTTCTAGTCTCTGTAGCAGCAGCAAACATGCTTGCTCCATCCTCAATATGACATCCCTTCAAATATTTAAACAGGCCTATCACATCACCTCTTAATCTTCTCTTTCTTGGACTAAGCATACCCGGCTCCAAGTCTCTCCTCATAAGACATGGTTTCTAGACCTTTCACCATTTTGTTGCCCTCTGGAGACTCTCAGACATTTCTAATCTAGTTAAGGTGAACCAGTCCCATAAAACAGAAAGAGTTCCAGTTCCTAAATGGAGCGGCATTTTGTTGCTTCTTTTGGGGGCAGAAAAATACTGGATCGGGGCTTAAGATGTGCAGTTGCTGCAGCCCCGATCCAGCGAGCAAAGGGGTGGCATGAACCCACTCTTCAGGGCAATCTGTCTCTCCCCTATGTTTAATGGGTCTGTGTTGTTAGCTGCCTTCAAGTCAACTACGACATGTGATGATCTGATGAATGGGAGACCTCCAAGTTACCTTGTCAACAGCCCTGCTCAGTTCTTGCAGACTCAGGGCCTTACTCCCACAAAACAACAAATGGGATTGTATCCTTAAACACACATTCACCTGAGTACAAAACTATAGCCTTAATAGGTATGTTTCAATACCTCTGTTGCTATTAGCAGTCTGTAACACTTTTGTATTCATCCTGGGTAGCAGAATTAAACTGAACTTCAAACACAATCAGGCTTTTCTGTGCTTTGGCATACTTCTTTCTGTTGCTTTCTATTTTTCTTGTTATTGCCTGCTGTGGCAGCTGCAATCCTGATTTTCTTTGCTCTTGATTCCAGAGAGGTATTGGGGGCTACTTGGCTGCCAAAGTCTCCCAACCTGAAGCAATGCACAATGGCCAGCAAAATTGCCTTTTGGAAAGGAAGGTGATGGAGAGGTCTGATAGCATGCCCTTTATGTGCATCCTAGAAAAGAGAAAGAGGTTTGCATTTGGGATATAATCAGCAAGAGAGATAAAAGTTGATTCTTGCAGCAGCTGGTTTAGAAGAAAGAGCCATGGTACTGCAGGGTTGCTAGGTGTCCCTTATTATAAAGGATGCCCCCTATTTGAGGGCTTGAATGTTTTTTCTTTTTATAGACTGAATGATATATCAAAAATCCTGTATTTTTGGGGGGATGTGAGCCCTTCATATAGACAGAATTATGTGCATTGTGTAATTTACCAATGTGGCCAGTAGTTTAATTTTACAGAGAAATACATGCCTGGGGCAACTGAAATCAATACTTTCACTAGGTATTTAAGAAGAACACAGACTTGTTAATAGCTACTTCATGACTGTTGACTCAGCATGTCTTTTATTTTGACCGTCCCTTATTGCTAAAAACAGCAACAACAAACAGGCAACACTATAGAACTGTGAGGTGTAGTCAGACAGGCTGGGGCTTGCCTTAACACATTCAGAGCAAGAGTGGGGGATAATGTGGCTCACAGGGAGTGTATCTATGCAACACATTTTTAATACTACAATTCCACTTTAAGGACTGTGATGCCATCCTATTGAATTCTGGGATTTCTAGTTTAGTAAGATTTTTTTGCTAGAGACGTATAGTGCTGTAGTGTTTGTTAGTGGACTAAAACTCTCTATCAAACCGTTCTAAAGTACTTCCTCAAGCTACATGATTCTATAGGATGAAAGAGTTAGAGTGGTGTCAAACTGCTCTAATTAGTGTAGTGTGGATGTTGTTAATCTGGTAAAACCAACAGCAAGGAACTACAGTCCAGCAGCATGTGGAGTCTATGCTGCATGCTTTGACTTCACAGACTAGGGCTTTCTATCTGGATGGCTGTGCTTTTCTATGCTCAATAGGTAAAACACATGGGAAGGCATAGAACATCTCCTCTCATCTTTCATCAAAATAGAAATTAAATCTCTGTAGTTCCCATTGGAGGAAGGAACATCAACAATTTAAGATATGGAGATGACACCATATTACTAGCAGAATATAGCAAAAACGTGGAACGATTATTGAAGAAAGTCAAAGGATGTGCAAAGGCAGGTTTACAGTTGAACATTAAGAAAACAAAAATAATGACCACTGATGAGTTACATAACTTTAAAGCATAAAATGAAGACATTGAGATAGTGAAAGATTTTCTCTATTTTGACTCAGTCATTAATCAAAATGGAGACTGCAGTCAAGAAATCAGAAGATGACTAGGACTTGGAAGGGCAGCTATGAAGGAATTAGACAAGATCCTGAAGAGTAAAAATATATAATTGCATGCTAAAGTTGCATTGTCCATGCCACTGTATTTCCCATTTCTATGTATGGTTGTGAAAGCTGGACAGTGAAGAAAGCTGATAGGAAGAAAACTAAATCATTTGAAATGTGGTGCTTGAGAAGGATTCTGTGGATTCCATTGACTTCTAAAAAGACAAATAAATGGGTCTGAGAGCAAATCAAGCCTGAACACTCCCAACAAGCCAAGATGACTAAACTGAGACTGTTGTTCTTTGGCCATATCATAAGAAGATATGACTCACTAGAAAAGACCATAATACTTGATAAGGTAGAAGGCAGAGAGCCAATGTGCCATAGTGGTTTGAGTGTTGGACTAGGACTCTGAGGGTCAGGGTTCGATTCCCAGTTTGGCCATGAAACTGGACAAGGGTGACCTTGGGCATGTCTTGTGCTCTCAGTCTCAGAGGATGACAATGGCAAACCTCCTCTGAAGAAATTTGCCAAGAAAACCCCATGATAGGTTTGCCTTAGGGTCACCATAAGTTGGAAATGATAGGTTTGCCTTAGGGTCACCATAAGTTGGAAATGACTTGAAGGCACATAACAACAACAACAATGGTAGAAGGCAGTAGGAAAAGCAGAAGACCGCATTGCAGATGGATAGACTCTATCAAGGAAGTCACAGTCTTGAGTTTGCAACATTTCAGCAGGGCTGCTGAAGATAGGGTGATTTGGAGGTCTCTCATTCATAGAGTTGTCATAAATTGAGACCAACAGCAGTTAACAACATCAGCAAATGCTGGTTGTGGGGATTTCCACTTGGATCTGGGCTATCTGCAAGACGGTATCTTTCTATATGAGCCTGCCCAGATTCTGAGATTGTCAAGGAAGGCAATTCTTTCAGTCCCACCACTTTCACAGGTACCCTTTCTGGGAAGGTTGGAAAGAGCCTTTTCCATGGCTGCTCCTACTCTGTGGAGCTCCCTTCCTCAGGAGGCAAGGCATCCCCCTTCCTTGAGGATTTTCTATTCCAGCAGGCAAACTGATTTGTTTGATATAATTGGGCTTTCTTCTCTTTTAGTGTTGTTCTTATTATTCACAGGATGTTCTTATTCACAGAGGAAGAATCCACTGCAATCGGGTTATTCCCCACACGCCAACCAGATCGGCTAGCGCTCACATTCTTTTCAGTTATAACCCTTAAGCATAATTTGAAATTGGTGTTTTACATAATTTATATGGCCTTAATTCTATAGATAGCTTAATATTATTTTAATTTCAACTTTTTGTATGTTTTTAGCCCTGTGTAGTTTTACTGATATCTCTTTTTATTCTGTTAGCCACCTTGAGTCACAAATTTTGAGGAAAAAACGGGATATAAATAAAACAATTTAGTGATGGAGTGAATGTAACAGCATCCTCCTGCTCATTCTTTCAGCAAATGTTATTCAAAAGCTTATTGCCTGTGATACTAAAGGCAATAATATAGTGATCATGAATAGTAACCTTTGATAGCTTTATTCGCCACCCATTTCTCTAGCTAGCCCTTTTAGAAAACAGAGTGTGCTAATCTTAACATCTCTAAGGAAGGGAATTCCAGAGCCTTAGGACAGCCACTGGGAAGGCCTTCTGCAGTGTTCCCACCCGATGTACCCGTGAAAGTGGTGAGACAGAGAGAAGGGCCTCCCCAGAACATCTCAAAACACCGGCATCTTAATATGATATAATACATTCCTTCAAATGGCCTGGACATGAGTCAAAAGCTAACAAAATGAATTTCAACACAGAGAAATGGAAGATACTGCACTTAGGGCAAATAAAATAAAATAAAATAAAATGAAAAAAAATGAAATGCATAGATATAAGATGGGGGACACCTGGCTGAATGAGACTACGTGTGAAAGGGATCTAGGAGTCCTAGTAGACCACAAGTTGAACATGAGTCAATAGTGTGATGCCACAGCTAAAAAGGCCAATGCAATTTTAGGCTGCATCAGTAGAAGTATAGTGTCTAGATCAAGAGAAGTAATAGTGCCACTCTATTCTGCTTTGGTCAGGCCTCACCTGGAATACTGTCTCCAGTTCTCGGCACCACAATTCAAAAAGGATGTTGAGAAAATGGAGCGTGTCCAGAGGAGGGCAACTAAAATGCTGAAGGGTTTGGAAACCATTCCCTACGAGGAACGACTTAGGGAAGTGGGTATGTTTAGTCTGGAGAAGAGATGGTTAAGAGGGGATACGATAGCCCTGTTTAAATATTTGAAGGGATGTCATATTGAGGAGGGAACAAGCTTGTTTTCTTCTGCTCCAGAGACTAGGACCCGAAACAATGGATGTAAGCTCCAGGATAAGAGATTCCACCTCAACATTAGGAGGAACTTCCTGACAGTAAGGGCTGCTCGACAGTGAAACACACTCCCTCGGAGAGTAGTGGAGTCTCCTTCTTTGGAGGTCTTTAAGCAGAGGCTGGATGGTCATCTGTCGGGGATGTTTTGATTTTGAGTTCCTGCATGGCAGGGAGTTGGACTGGATGGCCCTTGCGGTCTCTTCCAACTCTATGATTCTATAATTCTATAATAAGAGCATCGAGAGAAGTCCTACTCAGTGTAATAATGAATTCCCAGTCTTAGATCCCCAAATGTTGAACTACAGTTGTCATCATTTCCATGCCATATGGCCAGGAATAATGGGAGCTATTATTGAACCATATGTGGAGACCCCAGTTTGAAAACCTTTGAGGGACCCATCCAGTTCTGAAGTCCTGCCTAGGCATATAACTCAGTGGGTGACCTTGGGTCAGCCATCTTTTCTCATCCTATCCTCCTTTGGGTTGTTTTGAGAATAAAATAGGTACAGCTGAATGCAAATTAAACTCTTCAGAAGACTGGAGTGGTTACAGATGTGAATAACTGTAAAAAATAACTTGCAGTTTATACAGGACTTTTAGTATATTGTAATCACCTGTTACAGATGTTACCATAATCCTATTGAAATTGTGGAATGGGACTGAGACTAAATATGCTTCCTAGTGAGTTTGTTTGGTGGTGAATTTTTATCCTGCCCTTCCTACAGAATGCTCAAGGTGTCTCTCATGTATTTCATCTTAACAACCCTGTGATAAGCCCTATGCAATCTTTTCTTTGTTTTTCTTGTCTGGCAGAATTGTGTGGGGATATGGGTAGACCTGAAATCTCTGCCCTTACATTCATAGCATACATTCTATGGCAGGATAAAGCTAATCCCCATTCACTAAATGCAGTTACAGGGCCCTGTATGACCTTTGCCTGCAATGAAATGCTGCCCTGAAAATGAGGGGCATTGAGCAGGGAGAGACTTATGGATGCACTCACATCCCCAAATACAACTTTGCCCTGCAATCAACCAACCTTGAGTCTCAGCTTGCAGGGAAAGGTAGCGTGGTGATGGTGATGGTGATGGTGGTGATGATGATGATGATACACTTCAGCAAGCAAAGGCCAGGGCCTTTGCAGACTGCCAGAAATAGTGCAAATTGAGTCCACTT